ATTAAGCCAAAAATGTGTTCGAGGATTTCACAATGTTGGGCTGCATACAGCCTACAGACTTCTTCTAACCATCCTTGTTGGCCTGTGATGTCATATGATTACATTTGGCCTTGGACTGGTGGGGAATTGGGTCTTCCACAGGGTTTCTAAACTGCTGCCTTTGTTGGTCCCAGCCAACATGATAAAAGTGGGCTTTGCTACAGAAACAGTTTCGCACTTCTGGCCCAGGAGGGAGCCTGGATCTGCAGGAGGTACTCAAATGCTGAAATAAGGTGGGGAAGTCCCTACTTTTCTAGTGACTGCTGTTAATGCGGGGACCACTCTGAGATCCTGACAATAATGAATCTGGCCAGTGCATTAATCGAATAAGCTGCTCATGGGTTGATTTTAAAATCGATAAATGTTCTCAGCTTTGATCAGTAGTAAAGTCCTCATCTATGAAAAAAGGTAGACTTGGATTTAATGAATTGTGAGGCTTTTTTACTCTCACTGGGAAGTGTTTGCTTGAACATTGCCTTCCAGCCAAGGAATTATGTTCCTCTTTTGACCACTATTCGTCTTTGCTGAATAGCTGCTTGTGAGTTCCAGAACAAAGGAACTGATTTAAGAGATCTTTGGTGCTGGGCACTCTTCTCCCCCCACCCCAGCTTTTCCTGCTGCTGCCCAAGACTCCGAATTGCTTCAGATAGGAGCCCTGGAGGGGAGCTCAAACCAGTCCGAGACACTCGGTCTTGGCATCAGCAAGATCTTAATCCTGCTAGATCATGCTCTTCCCAGCTTCCCCACTTTCCAATATACTTGGTGTGGATTTGACCGCCTGTGAAAAGCTTTGAAATAAACGAGACTCGCTTCCCACTCCTCTCCTCACACTCGGGAAGAGAGCGAGATGTTCCATCTGGTTCTCCTTTTCTTTCTGGGTTTCCCTTATGAAAAATGGCCTCCAGGATGGTAATCATGAAAAGTCAGTTTTCGTGAAAAATGCTCAGGAAATTTGAAGGTACATTAATTCACGTGATTAGGTCACGTCCAGTTTTGGTTCTTTTTGGAAGACTATTGTACATATTGTAGAGAACTATGGAGATGGCCTTGAGGGAAATATGCAGAAGCTGTCACAAAAACAAAGAGGGCAGAAGCATTTCTTGAGCCCTGGGAAGGGAGACAGCATGTGGAGGAGGCTCAGGTTGGCTCCTCCCTGACTCAATGGGGCAGCTGAGGGAGGGGAGGAAAAACATAATCAGGCTATGGTAATCATGAAAAGTCAGTTGGCGTGAAGAATGCTCAGTAGTGTTAGAGTGCCATGCCTTCACGTACTTATGGCGCCTCCAATTTTTGTTCTTTTTGGAAGACTATTGTACATATTGTAGAGAACTATGGAGATGGCCTTGAGGGAAATATGCAGAAGCTGTCACAAAAACAAAGAGGGCAGAAGCATTTCTTGAGCCCTGGGAAGGGAGACAGCATGTGGAGGAGGCTCAGGTTGGCTCCTCCCTGACTCAATGGGGCAGCTGAGGGAGGGGAGGAAAAACATAATCAGGCTTGCACGATTCTGTTTCTAGAGCCTATCGCAATAAAGCTGGTCTTGGGGAGTCTGTTTTGTGTGGACAAATGTGAGGGGTTGACACATATATCAATAAATGTCTGGGCAAATGTTTCCAAATTAAAAATGCAAATGTTATTTTGAATTATAATCCAGAATTGTGGAATCTGACTGTTTTTGAGGAGTATTGAATATATTGGGCATAGGGAATGGTCAAAAGAATTATACTGAGAGATTGGAAAAGTACCATTACCCCAAATATTAAAAGACTGGATTCAAGAAATGTGTAATTTATCCATTTTTGAAAAGGCAGTGTTTTCTAGTAATCAAACAGTGGTACAATATGTTCAGTGTAAGTTTCATAATATTTTGCAAAAATAGATCATTTTAATGCACAATTTGATACATTATTATTACATGATTAAATGAATATGTGTTATGTTTAGGTGACTTATATTAATGTAGTTTGTCAATTTTAAGGTTTTTTCTGTATTTCTCTTTTGGAAATTGCAATAAAATTTAAAAAACAACTGAGAAATGCTTGTGGTCACCCAGATTTCCAGAGATCAGCATTGGCCCTCCTGGGATGTCAGAGAAGTGGTTTTGCTTTGAGCCTTTCGTTGGTCCTGGACGGGCAACCATCTGCTGTCTCCAAGAGGCTATTCTCAACTTGCAACTTTGCAGTCTTTCTTTTGGGCCCAAACCTGCCAGTTTATATTTCCATCTCTATGCAGCTTCTGTTACTTTCTTTGCCACACAGGAAAGTCCAAGTGTTGTCTAGGAAATAGGGGGAATGTGTAACGGTAGCACCTTCGTTAGGCTAAAAAGGAACATTGGAGGAAGTGCCCATTGCTTTCTTCAAGATATTCTCGTTTTCTTCTTCACATGGATGGTTTGGAATGGCCTATTGGAGATGATTGCTTGGGAATCTCCTTGGGCCTTGAAACTTGTAAGGTTTTGAAACTAAGTTTAGAATATTCTTCAGTGACCTTTTGAAATAGCCCCCCTTGTTATTCCAAGAGCAGCATTTTGGCAACAGGGTTGCTGACTGCCGCAGGAGTTGTGTCCGTTGACTTGAGCCAGCCTGGGGTGAACCTACCTTAGGCGTCATCTGTCTTCTGCTCATTGGAATCATTTGGAAATGGGGTTTTCAAGTTACCTCAATGGTTGTGCTTCTTACTGCTGTGCATGTGAGGCCCGTGAGAGCACTGAGGAACAGCCCCTTAACAAATGTTCTGTTGTATTGTCGAAGGCTTTCACGGCCGGCATACAATGGCTGGTGTGGGTTTTCCGGGCTGTGTGGCCGTGTTCTGGAAGTTTTGTTTCCTAACGTTTCACCAGCACCTGT